TCATATCCTGCCATTTATATGCTTCTCTGTGAGGGAGTCAGACCTAAATGAGCCCCACAGTCTGCTTGGAAGATTTATTTTGCAATATAAAATGCATGACCTCTTCTCCCTAAACCACCTTCAATCCTACCTCACATGATTCCCCTTGAACGCTTTACCTGGACGTTTACCATTCCTGGGCAAGCTCTGAGTTTTCTCTGTTCCTTCTAAGACCACATCATGTCTACACGGAGATCTCCTCCAACATTTCAGTTTCCTGAATGCATCCATTCTTAAGGTTGGGCGCAAATGCTACATCATCCTTGAAGCCTTGGCTGAGACCCCAGTGCTCCTGCCCCCCTCAAGAGGGGATCTTCTTTCCTAGATTTCCCTAGAATTCCCCTATTTATGGTAGCCTATTTTAGGGGTCCCATTCATTTCTGCACCATAGTGGTTTCTAGCTACATGGTACGTTGTTAAGTACATGGATTCTGGAGGCAGATTTTCTGGGTGTAAACCTGGGCTTAGGTATTTACTGTGTGACCTTGGGCAAAAGGTTTAACCTGTCTGTGCATTAGTTTCTCCATTTGTGAGATGGGGATAATAACTACCACGTATGACTGTTGTACAAATTAAATGAGCAAATTTATGTTGAATGTGTGGAACTATGACTAGCAATGCTCAGGAAAGGTGGTTGTGTTTACTACTATTATTATTATTATGGCAGGGGTCCATCCTGTCTATCTACCACATAGCGTTTTGCATATTGGTGCATGTTTATTTATAAATAAGTAGATGGCCAATGGATCCATAAGACTTCCATTCCTTACAAGTTGATCCCATTTTCCTCCATTAGTTTTGAGTTACAGGGGACTTGATCAAACTGATTTAGACTTTACATGATATTATGAACACACTTCGTAAATATAATATATGAGATGATCGTTCTTTCTACCTCAGCATGCCATCTCATTCTGCCGCTGCCCAGAGGCAATATCGAGATGCTCTTGACAGCATTGTGTGGAGATGACATAGAGCCAATCCTGGCCCTCTACGCATCCAGAGTTCAAATCAAGCCTTCTAGCAATAGATGAATAATAAACAAATCAGGGCACCTGGGTGGCTCCGTTAGTTAAGCGTCCGACTTGATTTCGGCTCGGGTCATGATCTCAGGGTCATGTGATCAAGAGAGCCCTGTATTGGGCTCCGTGCTCAGCACAGAGTCTGCTCGAGATTATCTCTCCCTCTCCCTCTGCTTCTCTCCTAGTTCATGCATGCACACTCTCTCTCTAAATAATAAAATCTTAAAAATAAAATAAACAAATCACTGCTGGCCTCGGTCTATCTGGAAGTGCCTGGCATCTCACAATATGACTTGGCCCACCATACAGACACTGGCCCAGTAAGGCCAGATGTGGGTTCTAGAAGTAGAAGTTAGTGATTCAGACACACCCCAGCTCTAGGAAGGGCCTTGGGGAAGCCATGGAATTTTTGTCATAGACCTGGTGTGAACCCTCTCATTTGGGAGGTGTCCCCACACAAGTATTGCTGTCCATAGTCCTGTCTTAAGGATCATTTGTAAAAGGCCCTGATGGTTTCGGCTAAACCTGGGTTCTGCTGGTTCTTGCCCTGCCTCTCTTTGGAATTCTAGAGCAGGTGAGAAAAAATATGGGGATGGGAAAGAATGGGGGGAAAGGAGAAAAAGAATGAGAGAGAGAGTGGGAGGGAGAGACAGAATATGAATGAAATACCAGGGAGAAGAAGGAGAGACTTCAATGTTGACATCTTTTTCCACTGTTGTTACCATGAATGAAACAACAAAAGCAACCTGTCTACAATATCGATCCCCCGAGGGAGAGTGAGGACTGCTGCACCCAGGGAAGACAAGACACACCATGCGGCCAGTCTGCGGGGACAGAGAAGGTGCACCAGCCCGGTGACCGTGGACCATGGAAGGATCCTGGCCGCGCAGCGAGATGGAAGCATTCACAGTTCTTCTTGTCTCTCTTGATGAAAAATTTGCAATTTTTACACTGTGGCAGAGCAAATGGAACTGTGACTTACGATTCACAATTTATGTCGTTTGCCATTTCTATCATGTTTCTCGCTGGCTCGGAGCTTTATTGCACTCAGTTTCATGGAGAGAAGCTGCAGAGGCAAGGGGAGGCACTGGGCCCGCTCCATCCTTGAAGTCATGTTTACAGCAGATGTTGCTTTATTTATTTAAATTCATTCTCTGGACCAAAAAAGTCTTGGAGGAGCAGATTGGGAGTCCCGAGTTGCTTACAGATCTAGGTGGGAAAGACCAGGTGGGCTCAGGGATCTGACGGGAACAGGAAGGAGAGGATGTCTTGAATAAATTATCAGAGTCAAAATCCTGCCCAGCGATAGCTCAGACGTGATTGTAATGCGGTGTAAATTTCTGCAGTTTGTGATGTATTCAACCTCCGTTAACAAGCACCAGAAAACACGAATCAAACCCCATGCGGGTATGACTGTCTCCAGGAGGGGAATCCAAATAGAGCCCAGAGCAGTGGCCAGCCACCCCGGGGGCTTCATTTAGTCCCTCTCAAGCTGGTAAATACAGCAGATTTCTGTTGAAAGCAAATATGATTACAATGGTTTAAATAATTTAAAGGCCAAATAAAAATCTTTGCAGAGTCGGTTGAGGTGTTAAGCACAAATGTCTCACGGGCAATTAATTTCAGTCCAGATCAAAGTGGTAAATCAGGCTGCAGGGAAGGCTCTGCACCTGTCTTGCGGCGGGTGGGGGGGCGGTGTGCGCACGCGCACCTTCCCGGGGGTTCTGGGAAGGCAAGGCTGTTGCCACGTGACTTCCCCCCCCCCGCCCCCCGCGCAGGAAGGTGGAAAGGGACTTGTGTTAGGAGCTGAGCTGTGTGGCGGCCGTTCTGAATGTTCCATGCAGAACATCTGCGCAACGGAATACCATGCCACTATAAAAAAATAAGGTAAACCTGCATGAATTGATGCGGAAAGATCCCTAGGATATACTGTCAAGGGAAAAAAGCAAGGTGCGGAGCAGGTGTATGTCATATACTACTTTCTACAGCAGTGTTTCTCAAAGTTTTCTTCATTATCACCCCCCAAGAAACCTTTAGAGATGTTTTCCCCCTGAATGCCACCCCCATGGAATTTTAATAGCATGTATATCTGTTTCTATGCTGCATGTCTAATGTATATTTGTGATTTAACCATAAAAAGGGGAAGAATTTTTTTGCTTCCCAGAATCCATTTTCACCCCCTTGGGGGTGGTATCACCCCCCCACTGAGAATGCCTATTCAATAAGAAGGTGAGAAAATAAGTATATTATGTAACACCCTCGAAGGCTACATAAGAAACTAATAAAAGAGTTGCCTACGAGGAAGGGAGGGAATGGGGACATGTGGGCAGAGGTATGATCAAGCTTGCCCCGTGTAGCGGCTCGTGGCTGGTTCTATTGGTAGAGCGCGCGACTCTTGGTCTTGCGGTCGTGAGTTCGAGCCCCAGCTTCGGTGGAGATGACTTAAAGAAAATAAAATTAACTTAAAAAGATTTCCCCCGTGTATTCCCTTTTCTATTATTTTGTTTCTGGACTATGCAAATATAGTGCCCATTGAAAACAATGCAATCAAAAGACATATAACTTCATTTTTTTTCTGAAGTAAAACAAAAAAACCCCAAGGACATGTGAGGAGCAGCCAAACAAAACAAACAAGCAAGCAAACCCTGCAGGCTGTTGACACTCTTCCCTAAACCAAGCAAGAGGGCCTGCTGGGACTAGAGGCCACCCTTCCTGCCACACTGCACCACCTGGGGGGGCCTCTGCTCCTCAACAAGAGTCTTTTGTCCTCCCCGGTTTATTTTTTGGCAAGAGGAAACCGAGAGTATACTCTGCACCCTTATCAGGGCTGTTTGGGCTCGGGCTCATTTTGAAGATTGCAGCTTCTACTTGAAAAGCGTCAGGCTGTTTCCAAGCCCGGGGTAGAGCGTGCGCCAGGCTCTCCCAGACAATGGGAAATGCAGGAGGAAATCACCTGCGCCCTCTCCCCCTCCCATGGCATGCATGCACAGGCCATCTCGGGGAGGGAACAGGATGGGGCAACGGAGCCCTGGTGGGGAGAGGTACAAGGGCAGAGATCCTGAGCCCGGGAGGTTCCTGATCAACCAGAGCTGGAGGGAGGGGTCAACTTCCTCCAGCAAAGTGTGTTTCCTCCTCCCACAGGGAGCCCTCCCGAGGAGGAAAGGCCATGCTTAAGGTTGATTAGTAGACCAGAAATTCCATTGTGGGATTAACAAAACAAAACAAAACAAAACAAAGCAAAACATTGGGCTCCCACTTCAGTGTATCAGCAACTTTAATGTGATTGTGTAATGAGGCAAGATGATAAATAAGATATGCATGATTGCGCCCTCTCCTTCGCTTAAAAATATCAAGCGCTGCAATGCCTATTTGGCATGAATGGTCTGCCTTTGAATGAGTTTTGTTTTTTCAATGCTCCAAAAAGTGACCTAGGGAGGAGGGAGTTAGTACATTGAGGTCAAGTCCTGGTTGTGCCCCAAAGCCTCAGCGTCCCCATCTGTAGATTGGGTGTAATAATAGCTACCGTGTCCACAAGATGATGCTGTTGTAATGTTGTAAAGGATGAATGACTTGATACAAGAAACGTTTCCTAAGAGTAGGATACTTTCACGGTTGACATTGTTACTTCTACAAGACGGAGGGGTGGCGTCTTGCTTTTCAGACCTCAGGAGAGGACACTCAACCAGCTTGATGGAATTGAAATGTCTCTGCGTCCTTTGTGGGAGATTCTTAGAACACACATCCCCCTTCTTTACTGTGGATTCACTTCTCAACTTCTTCAGAAGGTGGAAGCCACTTGTGAGGGTGTGGTTTGGCTTTCCAGGCTGTGGGTACAAAATGGCCCCCTCGAGGCTGGATTTTATGCCCTCTTGCCACTATTTCCCTTTGAGGCCTCAGGTTTGTCCCTGAACTTGAGTTTTTTCCTCTTTCCATCTCTAGGTGATGCTCTTTGAAATACACGCCGGGAAACGCTGTGTGTCAGGAAGCCGAGCCACATTTCCTTCTGCTGGGCCTTGTGAAGGCTGGCCTCTGGGCTGTTAAGTGCCTGGCTCCTCGGCAGGATTCTCTGTCATGGTGAGTTCTAGAGAGCCCGTCCATCCTACTAACCTGGGTTCCTACCGAAGAATCTGAGCTTTATATTTTTAAAACAATGTATTTATTATTTAAGATCTTTATTAACACACGCTTGCTGTTTGTTGATCTTTTTAAAAAATCAAATCATATACTTGCATTACAAATTAAAAATGAGGTCCTTAGAAATCTCAGTTTGACCAGATACGAAACGTTTAAAAACCTCTAAAGGTGTAGTGAGAAAAATCAGGCTTTAAAGAAACAAAACAGAGGTGCCTGGGTGGCTCAGTTCGCTAAGCCTTCGGCTCGGGTCATGATCCCAGGGTCCTGGGATGGAGCCCTGCATCAGGCTCCCTGCTCAGCGGGGAGTCTGCTTCTCCCTCTCCCACTGCCCCTCCTCCTGTTTGTGCTCTCTCTCTCTCTGTGTCAACTAAATGGATAAAATATTTTTTAAAAAAATCTTTAAAAAATAAAAAAACAAAACAACCAAAAAAACCCACGTTTGTCATTCCCAGTAAGAGACATCGTTAGGTAAAAATAATAGAAACCCCATCCTGCCCAGATAATGCAGGTAGTTCTGGTTATCCGGTCAGTGGGCAAAAAGGCAGCGCTGAAGGTCTTCAGCTCCACTCTTTTGTTCATTTTTTTGTTGCTGGAATTTTATATTCGTTCTTGGTGGGTGCCTAAATCAGGTGGCAGGAGAGATGGTAAACTGGCATTTCCTTGGCCCGCCCTGCTCAGCCTGGGAGCCACGTCTCAGCCCGTGGTCGGCTGCTTTTGTCCCGGTGCCATCTAGTGGTTTTGGGTTTTCTGGGCATCTGTGTGGGAAACTGAAGTTGTGTGGGTACCGACCTTGAGGTGGCTGCTGACCTTGGGTCTCATCTCCTTGCCTTTTCACTGCTGTCCTCTTTAGGCTCTCTTTGGCGAGGCGAGACCGCTGCGGAATCGTGTTCTGTCTCAAGGGTCTACCTTGCTCTCCTGCACCCTGCTTCTCGGCCCCCCACCACCCTTCTCCCCTTCTCCCCGCACAGGAGGGTTGGAAGGCTGTGGTCCACGCTCGCAGGCTCCCACAGGCAGGAAGTTGGGAGCCCGCGGGGACCTATGGTAGGGCCAGCACTGGGGGTACTGACCTTGGGGAGCTCTCCCGATCGATCCCCGATTCTTTAACCCCACTCTCACTGCTCTGGTAGTTCTGCTGGTGATGGCGTGGAGGCCCCGGGCAAGGGGAACCGTCCATGATGCCTACGGTGTGCTGCTAATATTACCCCCTTGCCCTGGAGCTCCCCCGGGGCCCGCAGTATGGGCCATCCCCGAAGCCTTTTCTCCTTCAACAAGGTCCAAGTCCAGTCTCTCCACGTGCTACACTGGAAGGTACTTCCTGGGGTTCTTCTTTATGGCAGGCTGGTGTACAAACACCTCTTCCTTGGTGTCCTTCTTGTTTATTGCAACCATATTCTGTTTCCTACAAGAAGCCATTTGACTCTTCCCCAAGCCTTCACGGCATTGACCTTGACCCAGCAGGCAGGTGCCTCAGACAAGTGAGTCCTCAGCCACTGCTCACCGGCGCTCGGGGTTGCCTTGTGGAGGGTGGGCTGGCGGCTGCTGGGTCTGGCCCGGTGACTTGTCCTTGTAGGGACGGTGACAGGGGCCGGCGACCACAGCTGCACCTCCTCCTGGGTGTGATGGTAATTAGGCTGGCGGGCGGCAGTGGGGCTGCCCGGGGCTCTCTGAGCTTTCTTATTTTAAATTAGAGGGAAAAAATATGCTTATCGTAGAAAACAGTTATAAGAGAAACATAAAATGTATGCAGAAGAAAATAGGCATTGCTTGTAATCCCATTACTTAGAAATATGGAATATTAACATCTAGGTGTATAGACATCTATGTATTTATTTGCATATATGCATATGTGTGTGTCCACGTACGCCCATATATTCATATAGAAAGAGAAATCAATACAGATGAATGCATATGCATATATTTATGTGTGTGTGTGTATTTAGGTTTATACAGTTTGGTTTGTTTTTACTTTTATACAAAATGGCATACACTGCATACTGGTATGTGGTCTGCTTTATGCCTTTTAAGAATTTTGATAATAGGGCGCCTGGGTGGCTCAGTCCATTAAGTGTCTGCCTTCACCTCTGGTCATGATCGCCCGGTCCTGGGATCAAGCCCCATGTGGGGCTCCCTGCTCAGCGGGGAGTCTGCCTCTCCTTCTTCCTCTGCCCCTTCCCCTGGCTTGTGCCTCTCTCTCTCTCCCTCCCTCAAATAAATAAATAAAATCTTAAAAAAAATAAAAATTTTGATAATACATTGCAAACAGCCCTCCAAATTAATAAACATATTTCTTTTTTTTTTTTTAAGATTTATTTATTTTATTTGAGAGAGAGAGAAAGCAAGAGGGGGGAGGGGCAGAGGGAGAGAGAGAATCCCAAGCATACTCCCCACTGAGTGAGGAGCTAGTTTCGGGGCTCGATCCCAGGACCCTGAGATCAAGACCTCAGCTGAAATCAAGAGTTGGACGCTTAACCGACTGAGCCACCCAGGCACCCCAGCTTTTAACTTTCTGCTTTTCTCACGAAGTCGTACATTTTCCTATGTTTTCCTTCTTTTGCACCATGCTTAATACTGTCCTTTGACCACTTTTTCAAAGAAGATATTTGTTACTTTCTTATTGACTTATAAGATCCCTTTATTTATATTTACATATGTATATATATTTTTTCTTTTTTTAAGTAAGAGCATGGAGCCCAACACAGGGCTTGAACTCACGACCCTGTGATCAAGACCTGCGCTGAGGTCAAAAATCAGACACTTAACTGACTGAGCCACCCAGGTGTCCCCTAAGATCCCTTTGCTCTTAACAGATGTTACTTGCCCAACCTGGTACTTAGCATTGGCTACCCTTGCTGACATCTGTGTTCTGCATAGTCTAAGTACCGCTAATGAACTGATTTTGCTCAACTCCATTCAAAAAATGCTGAACTAAAATGCCAGTTATTTCCCCACTGTGTTATCCAAAGTGTTATCTGTGTTGTTTATGGGGTTCTGCTTCTCCACCACCACTCAAGCAGAAATGTCATTTCTCCCAGACAACTAAAGCAAGGGCATTCATGCCCGTAAGGCTCCAGGGAGGTTGTTCTCATTTCTCAAGTTCTAGCTCAGACATCACCTCCTCCAGGAAGTTTCCCTGATTTCTCCATCTTTCATTGCACCCCTTTTGCCCTTTCTTTAAACTCTTGGAGAACTTAATGTCTCTGTCACACATTTAGCAGTGTAACTAGATATTCTTTTGTGTCCTTAGTATATATGTGCCTGTCTACATGTATACATATATATATCCCATCGACCGATGAAGGACCCAGTATTTCTAATAGTCGTTCTAAGTGTTCTTTACAGACTGGGGCAGAGACAGTCAGTTGTTACTGATTGGCTAATTCACTGATTAAGAGAGAAAGACCCTGAGCAATATTCCTGGGTTTGAAAGCAACGCTGGAATACATAAGAATATTGAAGGTCACCATCAATGGTGGATTTTTCCCTCTGTGTTTTCTTGTGAACCATATATGGTATCTTAGTAAACCTCAGAGCAATATACTCAAAGAGGAGGTTCAATAAGCTCTCCTAATTGCTATCTGGTTGAGCTCCATGCTGTGTATATTTCACAGGGAATCACATGAACCCGGGTATCTCTTTGTATTTGTCTTTTTTTTTTTTAAGATTTTATTTTTATTTATTTGACAGAGAGACACAGCGAGAGAGGGAACACAAGCAGGGGGAGTGGGAGAGTGAGAAGCATTTGTCTGTAATACTTGGGAGGAGCTGTAGGTACAACCCATTGCCAGAAAGCTTGCCGCTTCACCAGTTTAAGAGTACTCGTGGGGCTTAAAGGAGATTAAATAATCCACTAGCAAAAACTGACCCTTTCCCTTGCTGGTATTGACCCCCTCTAGAGTGCAAAACTGTAGCAGCTTATTATGATAATGACGCCTTTGAATCTTGGCTCTCACTTCTTGGGAAGGGGTGAGGGGAGGAAGGTCCCATCCTACCATGGGATCTAAGAGGACTGACTTTAGGAGGAGACCCCCTGAGAGCCAGATCCAAAGCCTGATTCTGCAGCTGGGGGGCTCTGAGCAATCTTAACTCTCTCATTCGTCAGCTCGAGTCTGTACAGTGGGGAAAAGAGTCGATGTCTCCCATACTTCCCAGAGCCATGGCAAGAGGTAGCCTGTCGTAAGAGTAATGAGGCTTCAGAATGATGTCAGTAACTTATTATTCCAGTACAGTAAATCTGTAGTGCAACTATTAGGATTATTTGCTTTCAGAGGTGCTCCAAATGCCTGAAGGCTGTGGTTCTTCCCCCTATGGCCGCATGAGGCAAAGGTGGATGCCATTCTGCTAGCGGACAAGGATGGGTCCCTTGTTCCAGACTAGAACCGGTGCTCGCGGAGGGGACAAAATTATTGTTCAGATGGGTGGATTCCACATTCCAGAAAGAGGAAATCCCTTCTTCTTCCTAGAGCCTGTTGCTCTGGGTGGCAGCCCAGGCCCTGTGAAGATCAGGGGCCTTGCTCCATGGGCTTGGCCTTGGAGGGAGCCCGGGGGCTGCCCTCGGGGGTTGACAGCGTGGGTGCCCTGCGGGAGCGCTTCCCTACAGGGGAGACAGAGCAGGGTAGGCCCCTGGCTACGTTTGCCCCACTAAACACTACCATCTAAAATTTGACCCCATGATTGTAAATGGAGCATTTCATATACAAATGTAGATTTCCTGCTTCTCTGGAAAGATCAGCCCATCCTACGGCGGCAGCACTGGACCCACGGTGTCTCACAGCAACAAGCTAGTGCGCAGAGTTTGCTCTCCCTTTTGCCTCTGCCCCCACTTCGCCTCTCCAGCACCTGCCAGACCCGGCAGATTCCAGGCCCGATACAAGTGGGTCCCCAGGGTCGGGAGGGCCACTGTTGCCCCAGCCCCCACGCCCCTCTTGAGACAGAGCTGGGAG